GGAAAATTCATAGAGAAAGAAAATATAATAGAGGTTAACAAGGGCTGGGGAGATAGGGAGTGACTGTATAATGGGTACAGTTTATATTTGGGATGATGAAAGTGAATAGTGGTGATGGTTGTACAACATTGTGAAGGTACTTAATGCCGCGGAAATGTACACTTAAAAATGGTTAAAATGGTAAATTTTATGTTGGGTATTTTTACCACAATAAAAAAATATACAAGCCCACAAATAATAATAGAATACAGCATTTTCTGAACATACAGATGATTTTGGAAAAATCTAATTGTAATTTGTCTCAAATATGTCTTCATTCAAGAAACATTTCCCTTCCCAACTTCAAATATTCCAAGATCAAGAAAAAGACACCTATTCCAATAGCAGAGGTACTGAGTCACTGCACAAAAACAATGGCAACATAACTCAATTTTATATTTAGAACATAAAGCCGGTGTTCATTGCCCATTGCTTTGATCTTTTAATTAATAAAGGAAATGGAGGTTATATAAGGTTAACATCAAAAAGGATAATCTTTACAAATGCATACACGCCTGGAGCCATCACACAATCATGTAATACTTGGCATATCTGCTTTTGAGATCATCCATGTTGTTAGGTGTTTTTTATTGCTGTGTGGTATTTCATTGTATGGAAACACCACAATTTGTTTATTCATTCACTGGTTGATAGACATTTGGGTTTTATTTCCAGTTTGGATATAATAACAAAGTGCTATGAACATATTAATACAAGTCTTTGAACGGACATGTTTTCATTTGCCTTGGGTGAATACCCAAGATTTTATAATAGTTTGTGAATGATTTTGCATCTATATTCATGAGAAATGTTGGTGTGTAGTTTTTGTTTCTTGTAATGTCATTATCTGGTTTTGGTATATGGTTAATGCTGGCTTTACAGATTAAGGTGGGAAGTATTCTCTTTTTGTTCTGGATGAGTATGTGTGGAATTGGTTCATATCTTCCTTAAATGTTTAGTAGAACTCACCTGTGAAACTATCTGAGCCCAGAGTTTTCTTTGAGGAAGGATTTTGAACTAGAAATTTAATTTCTTTGATATTTAGCTATTCAGGTTATCTATTTCGTTAGTGAGTTTTTGTATTCTGGGTCTTTCAAGAAATGTGTCACTTTCATCAAAGTTGTTTGGCTAGAGGTTTATTAATTTTATAAATCTTTTTAAAGAAATCAGGTTATGTCATTGTTTTACTCCATTGTTTTTCTGTTTTCTATGCTATTGATTTGTCCTTCTATTATTGCCTCCTTTCTACTTGGTTTGGGTTTAATTTTATTCTTTTTCCAGTTTCTTAAGGTGGATGCTTAGATGACTGAATCCTATACTTGTTTCTAAAATAAGTATTTCATGTTACAAATGTTCTTACATGCACTGCTTTTGCTGCACATAAAGTTTGATATGTTGCATTTCCATTTAATTCACATATTATAATTATGACCTTAATTTTTACCCATGGTTTACTTAGAAATGTGTTGTCAATTCGTAAGTTTCCAGATATATTTCTGCTAGTTCAATTTTTTTTTTTTTTTGTATTCAGAGAAAACATTGTTTGCAATTCTTTTAAATTTGAGAGTTAATGGCTCATAATATGGTTTCTCTTTATGAAGGTCCCATGTGTTATTGGGGAAAAAGTGTCGTTGAATGGAATGTATACTCACTAAAGCAGAGGAGCTTCTACTTTTATTTTTTATTTTTAAGTTCAGAGACAAAGCCCATATTGTGATTATCCTAATATATGTTGCCACTGATTTTTTTTTTTTTAAGAGGAAAGATTTTTCTTTCTTTTCTTTATTGACTTCTTTTAGAGAGAGAGGAAGGGAGAGGGAGAGAGATAGAAACATCGATGAGAGAGAACATCGATTGGCCACCTCTTGCATGCCCCTCACTGTGGATCAGGCCCACAACCTGGGCATGTGCCCTGACCAGGAATCGAACCAGCAACCTCGTGGTGCATAAGATGATGTTCAGCCACTGAGCCACACCGGCTGGGCTCTCCCATTGATCTTAAGAGAAAAAATGTGTTCTAAGTTTACATTTTCATGTTTTCAAGGCAAATATTAAATTTTGCACACAAGTTTGAATAACCTCATGACCTACCTTTTCTTTTTCACCATGTTATGAAGTGTATATTAGTCGAGCTGACATTTTCTATTCATATTCTTTAAGGTCAGGTTAGAGTTTATATGTAGATACTGTTAAGACATTTTTACACGAGATGTGATATAGGCCAGTTAAGAGCATGAATCTTAGAGTCAGACAGGCCTGTGTTAAATTGCATGTGTTTATGGGCATATTGTCTTTTGTGAAAATTAAGTTTGATAATAACAGTGAAGTGCCTCTGCATGGCACAAGTAAATAACATATGGCACTGTTATTATGCAGTTTGAGGGAATACTGGTAAGTGTTCACATGTTTTACTTTTCAAAACTTTTCTGATAATGCCTAGATTTCTATATTAGCTATTTATCCATGTGTATCAAGCACTGCCTTCTCTGAGCTTCTTATTACAGTGACTACAGTATGAATGCCTCCTAAGAAGGGTTATTTATTCTTATTTCCTAACCCTGTACAATGCATTTGTTTATTGGATAGCTGTTCTCAGTAACAGCAGAAATGAAGCAACCTGACTTTAAGGAGCAATTAGTTGTGTGAGGCTATAAAGAGAGAACTGGGACCTAAAATAGAGAGACTCTACCAAAATTGGTCTATCGCCTCTATGGGAGGCAGTCATATCTATAGGCCTTGAATGCCTGAACACCAGAAATACACCTAAAAATAAACTCTCAAATCAGAATAGTATGACAATAGAAAAAGAAGGTATAATTTAGTACTTGTCTATTTTGTCTAGTGTTTAATAGGACCTGAGTAAGAATATTATTACATTGTTGGAATTACTTAACATATACATTCTCAAATTAGAAGAAGAGTAGCAAAACCACAGCTGAGCTGTTAACATGAAAATTATATTTTCATTCAACGTTGCACCTACTGGTGCCAGGTTCTCTGCAAGGCATAGGGGATGTCAGAGTAACTATGGCAGACATGGTATCTGTTCCTAGTGGGGAAGGAATATGAATAACTGCCTAAGAACAATGGTAAGAAAGGTGCAGGAGCTATGGGAGTTCAGAGGAAAGGAATCCTAAAACCCAGCCTTCCCCTGGAGTTACCTGAAGGATGAGAAGTCATGGGGTAAAGAAAGAGTTCAGGATTTCAGGAACAGGGAACAATCTCTAAGGAGGCCTTTCGGTGTCAACTCTGACCTTCCCAGAAACAGCCCCAAGAAAACCCATAATTTAGTGATGAATGTTTAAAACTTTTAGTTTGTTACCCAAATTCAGCCCAAGACAAATCAAGTGAAGATGACAGTATAATACCCCATTTCACAGAGAGTTTTTCAAAGAAAATCTTGATAAGGATTAAAAGATGACAGCAGGTCAGGCTTGTTGATGCATTTTATTGTGAGATGGGGGTCTGGTAAAAAACTAGAAAATGATCATGGTGTAACAAGGAACTTAAAAATGAAGTCAGATTTGTAACTTACATACATGAATACAGGAACAAATTGGCACAAAATGTTAAACATTGTTCCCAACACTGTTTATATAGGGTTATCCTAATTTGGCTTACTAAGGAAATGAGAGTTTTATGGTTAGGCTAGTCTCTTGATAAAACTGCAGAGCATCATGCTATTAGTCACACAGTGAATTTCAAAATTTAAGAGTTTTATATTAAAAACTGGGTAAAGGTAAAATGACTTGATTGTAGTTGTAAAACGAATACATTCCCATTTAAATTCTGTTCTACAGTCCCAAGGCAAGTATAAATGTTAACATAACACTGTTAAATCAAATCTCAATGCAAGAGAACCAATTGCATCTCTACTTTAAATCTTATCAACTTTCCAAATTTTCATACTAAAATATATTATTGTATTAATACAAACTACAGTATTATACACTACACTGTGTAATAAATAAAGAAATATAAAAATAAGACACATAAATATAAAAGTTTTCTAAAACTAAAAGTACATATGTCAGTAAGAAGGGTATTAATACTGCCAGATTTGAAGACATACAGTACAAAAATGTTGCACAGATCTATAAACTAAAAGAGATAAAATAATACTGATAGGTAAAAATCATCTAATGTTGTTAATAAACTGGGTCCATAATAACTAACATTTGAAAATAGTTATGAGCCAAATAACAATGGCATGTCCATGTCAGAAATGCAAGTACATGGATAAAGCAGATTAGAAAATTTCCCTTTCATTTCTGTAGAGAAATTCTGAAAGTCAATTAATGCAAAATGAATACTGAGGACTTAAAACATGAAATATCCCAGTGTTTCAGTTTCTCTGACAGAGTCAGTGGTTTTAAGTTTTATTTTGGAATTTTGATAAAACAAACAAATCAACAAATGCTAGTTATTGTAGGCCACACATTGAACGAAGGCGGGTTAGAGCCTGGAATACTGATAAATGGCACTTACAGCACACAGGTCTTGCTTAAGGCCAAATGAGATACAAAGCTTCATATCATATCCTTCATATTTGTTACCACATACTCAAACACAATTACAAACACTGATTCTGCAGACTTTGCTGTCCCTACCAGTATTAACACTGTTAGTCCCTGCAATCAGAACGCAATGACAATCTTGAATTCCATTTTAAACCACATGAGTAAGAAACTTCAGTTCTTCTATCAGCTGCTTTCTTAAGGCTAACAATACACTTTAAATGAGAATACACTCTACTCTGACATCTAAATATTAGAAATTACTACCTTCTAGATTGAATTTATAAAAGGTAGTTAAGCACAATTTGGAACTGCATTATACTTCTCTGTGAAGGGAATTTTGTAGTGCAGAAGTTCTTACATTAAAAAAAAAAAAAAAAACATAATAAAATACTGAAGTGATTCAGTATATGTTTACCAATACAAAATTATAAAATTTCTCCCAATTGTACAGCTTAAGAATAAACCAACATAAGAGTGATAATTAATACTGATAAAATGAAACAATGCCAGATGTTTAATCAGTTTTCTTTAACATTTTAAATCTTTGCTTTCTGAGTCATTAAACTTTTCTAATCTGCTTCATGTTACAAACTTGTCCCTAACTTTGAAAAATGCACAAAAAATTACTAGGTCTGAGGTTCAGGCACACCTGGATTTTTTTGTGTTTTTTTTAAATATTTTTTTGTATTTTGTATTTTTTTAAATTTTTACTTTACACAGTAGTGAAAGAAATCACAGTATACAGGTTACTGTGTTTCCATGAAAAGCATGTATAATATAGAACAAACTTCATTACCAATTAGAATTTATTTTCCTTCTAAAAAAACTATTAGGCTTCATTTGTTTTTTCTTCAGACACTTGCTCACTATCCTCACTTACTTTCTGTTCTAAACTGCTCACTTGATTTACAGCTCCATCATCCTTCATGGCACCTTCAGTTTTTGTTCCTTCTCCCTCATTCTCTGCCTCTTCTCCTTCCTCCTCCTCCATCTCTACTTCCTCCTCCTCCTCCTCCTCCTCCTCCTCATCCACTTGTGTTTTTTCACATTCTTTTTCTTCCTGAAGTTCTTCCATCTCTTTATCCTCCTCCTCCTCTTCCTCTTTTTCACTGTCTTCATCCTCTTCTCTTGTCAAACTCTCTCTCTCATCTGAGTCGACCTGTGAGGGAGATGCCCTCGCGCCAACATGCTCACTCATTAGGACCTCGGGTCCTGCTTCTTCCTGCTCCATGCTGTCACGTTCCTCTGCTTCTCTCTTGCAGTAAGAGTAGCGATGATTCATGTGCTGAGAATAAGACCCAGAGTGTGAGAAACGCTTTCCACATTTGTCACATTGATAGGGCTTTTCTCCAGAATGTAATCGCATGTGTTCAATCAAATGATGTTTGTGTTTAAATGCCTTTTTACAGATTCCACATTCGTGGGGTCTTTTACCTGCAAAAGGAGAAGACCACTGTGAAATAAAATGGTGGCCTTAAGCAAATAAAATCCTCATAAAGCTTTTGAAGGAACTTCAGATCATGGAAAGGGTTATAAACTCATTTTCAAAAACTGTCAAGTTTGTCAACATACCTGTGTGTTCATATTTATGTCTCAATAGAGAGCTACTCTTTTGGAATATTTTATCACACAAATCACAAGCATACATTCCATTTTCTGTCTTCCGCATTTTCTTTTTGGGTGGTGTAGAATCAGAGTCATTCTGATCCTCTACATTTGATACTCCTTCTGAGCTAGTGTCTTGCTCCTAAAGGGCAAAAAGGAGTAAGAAAATTTCATTTAAATTTAAAAGATACAAGAGACATAAGTAAAAGTATAGGTTAAAGAACAACTTTGATTTATACTTTCAACAACTTGACCAAAGAAAGCACACTGCTCATCGCTGCAAATGGGCTCCAATGGTGGGGTTAGATTAGAGGTGGGGGCTATGCAGACCAAAGTAAGGCTTCGGGAAATACAGTCACAACTGTAACAAAGACATATGGTCAACTGGTACTGAAAGGAAAGGACACTAAAAAGAAAAAATGTAAAATGTGTGGTAATATTTACTTAGTTCCCTGTGCATCACTACTTCATAGGAAATTTGCAGAAAGTTTTAACTTATGAGTTTGTTAAATAATCACTAATCTATAACTGTATCCTTTACCTTCATTTTATCATTCTGGGCTTCACTAAACAAAAATTAAGATTATGTTTTTAAAGGTGGTCTTCCAACTGTATCTTCTAGAGCTTCAGAGTCCTGTGAACTAACCTCTACGGTCTCCTTTAAAAGAGAGAAGTTTACTCTATCATCTTCTAAGGAGCAAGATAAAAAATTATGCAGGAATATTTTATTTTTTTATCCTCACAGAAGGACATTTTTTCCATTTTTTGTTCAGATAGAGTAGGAGGGAGGGAGAGAGAGAGAGAGAGAGAGAGAGAGAGAGAGAGAGAGAGAGAGAGAGAGAAACATCGACGTGAAAGGGACACATCGAGTGGCTGCCACCCACACGACCCAACCAGGGCCAGGGACAAACTGCAACCGAGGTACGTTCCCTTAGCGGGAACCGAACCCGGGTCTCCCAGGACCGCAGGCGGACGCTCTAACCGCTGAGCAAACTGGCCAAGGTCTATGCAGGAATATTTTAAAACAAGAATATTTGTTAGTCAAAATGAATCTTTAGAATTTCAGCATAATAAAAAAGGCAGGCTCAGGGAGATAATTTTGGGCAAGAGGTCCTTGGGTAGGTAGTATAATCCTACAGGGAGCCTGCAGTGAAATTGGGTCCCCTGAGATCCTTGTCTTTTCTAAAGTCTTCCATTCTATTGTCTCTAAACACACACATTTTCTAAAGGTTTAAAGGTTTTCCACAACATTTCTTATGGCTTTGTAAGGTAGGAGAGGTGCAGCCATTTGCCTGGGTCATTTCTGAGCTGCCAGTGGGTGCGGTGCTAAGGAAGTTGACTCTATTTTCACTGCTATTTGACCAAGTCATAATTAAGTGAAACATTAGTAGTTCCCCCTCTTTCATTCAAAGGAGTGCATGATGTTCTATACACTAAAAATTTAGATGAATTCACTGGGCATGTGAAATTTTTTTCAAGAGTTATCACAATTACAGAAAACCCATTGGTAGCAATATTTAAGGAAAAAAAGCATTAACCACATTTGATCAGGATACTGTAATTATTTTAGTTGCACCTTCTTATAGTAAATATTTGGATGAAGGAGCAAATCATTTGACTCAATGCAAAATGGATAGAAAAAAATGGAGAGACATGTTAGTGATAGCAAAAGCCTGGACAATGAAATGCACCACAGTCACACAAAATGTTTCTATCTAGAACTACCATGAATTTTCGGAGAAAGTTAAAAAGAAAAATGTATATATTGATTCACAACCATATTTCCTCATATATATTAATTATGACTGAACACTGTTTAGTTACAGATCATAAAATGTTCAGTAAATTCACTAGATGAATTCTTATATATTTAACACATAAAAAGTGTTAGCTAAGTTTTCCTGGTGTGAAATGTCTGTGAATGGGAACATATTTTCATTTATTAATGATCATAATCAAGAAAGAAATTATTGCCCTGGCTGGTTTTGCTCAGCGGTTAGAGTGTCGACCTGTGGTCCAGAGATACCCGGGTTCAGTTCCCGCTAAGGGCATGTACTTCAGTTGCAGTTTGTCCCCGGCCCTGGTTGGTCGTGGGGGTGGCAGCCACTCGATGTGTCCCTTTCACGTCGATGTTTTTCTCTGTCTCTCTCCCTCCCACTCTGTCTGAATAAAAAATGAAACAATGTCCTCAGTTGAGGATAAAAATAAATAAATAAATAAAAAGAAAGAAAGAAATTATTTTTAAAACAGAAATCCTGTGAGTATTCCATTTTTTTTTTTTCTGTCTCTAGCTTCAAATAGTCTGAGACTTATCAATCATTTTTCACAGTAGAATAAAGAACACTTTAAACTTTAGTTGATAACTATACCTTGGATTAGGAAACAACTAAAGACATGATGCTACCAAAGTTAAAGCAAAAATTTATCTTTATAAAACAACGGTTTGTAACAACTTTCATGGTTCTACAGAAAAATTCATTTTCCACTTCCTTTTTGTTCAGTCCAAAATGTACAATATTTTTAAACTTAAAATTTTCCACTTAAATGTTTGAAAAAATATCACATTTCCCCAAAATTCTGACTGGTGTTTGTTAAAATAAATTTGTAATATTGATAAATTTTAAAAAGAAATAAGTCAAACTAGCATTTTACTAAACAGATGCAGGATGGGAGCCTTTTTTTTTTTTTTTTTTTACCTGATTTCCATTTGGCTGGATCACTTTCAAGGGTGTTTCCTGGACTGCAGGGCTGACTGTAGTAGAGTATGTATAAGCCACCTGGGGAATCAGAATAGTCTGCTTATTGGCAGCTAGTGCTCGCAAGCATGGAACACTGTTCTGGTCAGCAATGGCCACGATTGTGGGTAACTGGGCAGTGACTGTAGGAATAGCAATATTTATGGGGTTGGCACTTGGTGGGATTACATTTACAACTGGTTCTGAGTCTGTAATACAACTGTCCTTTTGTGGCTCCTTTTTTGCACAAGACAAGTTCAAGGGTTCTTCTTGGACAGAATAAACACTGTTGTGGTAAACACTAGTGATAGTTGACCTTTCCAATAATTCTCCCTGTTGCTTTGGTAGTGAAAGATCAAGAGGTTCTACTTGTGGCTCTTCTTGTGCACCTTCTGCTGTGTACAAGTAACCCTGTGTATTTCTGGATGAAGAAAGGTTCAGAGGTGATGGGGAGGATGTAATACTTCTGGAACCATTGATGGTTGATCCCACTGGTAAAACTGGAGAGTTAGCTATCTTCAGAGGACTTTGTAGATTTACTGTGCTGTCCTGGGATTCATTTGCATTTGAAGATTGAGGCTGATCATCATTCTTTGCAGAGATATTTACTTTGCCTGTTTCAGGAGAAGATGGTTCAGAAGACTGCACTGAAATCTGTCCAGCTTGCATCTTTTCAAACCACTTTTTTACTACATCCAGTGGTAGGTTTACTGAATCAGCTATTTTTGAGAGCTCTTCTGCACTTGGTTGTGCATTCAAAGCATAATAAGCTTTTAGAAGAGACAAGAGGTTCTTTAATGGTGGCTGACTGGGAGACAAATTGCCATCTCCAGAACCTAATGAAGCAGAGGACTCAGGCTTCTCAGCTTCCAGTGCAGGAAGTGGAGGAGGCTGAGCAGGCTGCTTTAGGTTATAGTGCTTTAATTCTGGAAGTGCATTAATATCTCCTGGACAATCATCACACAGAAGGCAAGTGCTATCATTCACTCCTCCTTCGAAGCTTTTGTCCTTCTCAGATTTAACAGTAAGATCTTCTGGTAACTTTTCACTTTTGCAACTGTTTGTTGGGACAGGATTTTCTTTTTTTAAATTTTGAGGAACAACTTGAAGTTGGCTAGGCTGCTCAAGACTGTAGTTGATGATAATTTTGGTTGTTCCATCTTGATCAACCAAGGGAAGACTGATGGCTGAAATAACAGAATGGCCACCTTGCTGTATGGATGAAGCACTGATTGTTTCTTGTTCTTTGGATGCAAGATTGGCTTGATTGTTCTCCAAAACTTGCCTTATTACATTACCATCTACTGCCACTTTAAGTACATTCTGAATATCACTTAAATTGATACTTATGGGAGACACCAAACCGACTGTTGGCAGAACAACAGCTTGCACCACACCCTGAGGAGAACTGGTTGCCTGTAATGGGCCACCACCACTAAAAACCCCATTTTGTAAAGGGGTTGAACAGTTGATTCCTGAAGCAACCACTATGGGTTTAAATTCATAATCCACAGGTTCAGTTTTAATTTGGTTTACAGAAAGTTGTTCTTGAAGGGGTTTATTCTCTATCTTTTGCCGTATCTGTGGTCGTGTGGGACTTCCTGGTGATGCTGAAAGAGATGGTGAGGAACACTGAGATGTCTTGAGTCCTGTTCTTGGTCGCCCATTCACAGGCATCAAGCTGATACATTTCTTACTGCTTATGTGTGAGCTATAGGAACCAGAATGAGAAAAACGTTTCTTGCAGTTTGGGCATTCATATGGCTTCTCTCCTAAACAACAACAACAACAAAATATATATATATTTATATATTTTTATGTATCCACATTTTCCTTAAAACAAACAACATCAATTTTAAAAGGGGTTACCATGTACACTTGTGATACAATTTTATTTAGAATCACCATTTTAAGTTCAAGATCCACATAAATGTTACAAACATTAGTAAAACATTAGTCTGAATTATGTGTGCTATCCAATATAAGGTAATCTTCTCTGTGTATGTGTGTAATATTTCTGCTAACCCTTAAAACTTCAATCATTCTCAAATACACAAAATATATTACAACCTACTCTTCCAAGTGTTTTTTTTTTCTTATTCTGTTTCACCAATGTATGTAGTTTTCTATATTTCAATCTACTTAACCACCTGTAGGAAAAACTATTAGAGAAAAGAAAAGTGAAATATCCCATAAAACTTATTAAGTATGAATATCTCTGATTATATGAATCATATAAATATCTTTCCCATATCTATAAGTTTTCCTTGTAAAGATCTTTCTCAATGGGAATAAAACTGTAAATATAAAATATTTCTATAAGCCTTGGCTTATTAAACTGGGATGTATATACTCCTGAAGCTATAAGGCAATGTTCTAATATGTATAGCAAAGCATCTTGGAATTTCAATTTTAATGACAGTGATGTTATGGCAACTTAAAATATTATTATTTTAAATATTTTTTTCTTTATTGATTTTAGAGAGAGGGAGGGGGGAGAGAGAGAGAGAGAGACCATTGATGAAAGAGAATGACTGGCCGCCTCCTGCATGCCCTTCACTGGGGATTGGGCCATAACCTAGGCATGTGTCCTGACCAGGAATCAAACCAGTGACCTCTTGGTGCGTGGATTGATGCCCAACCAGTGAGCCATACTGGCCCGGGCTATTATTTTTATATTAACACATAAATTATACTATGTTGCACAAATGCAACATTTGTGTGAATTGTTAGGGAAAAAACACAATGTCAAAGAAGCTTTTTGCCTGTAGAGGCCTCCTTTCAAGTTGTTTCCCTAGACCTTCCAGGGATACAAGGCATTTATTCTCTTGGCCATTAGGGATACTTTGGTAGAAAATTCTGAGAAGCACTGAGCTAAATGGACTATTTCATACAACCCCAATTTTCCGCATTTTAATTTATAGCTATAGTTTATTAATTTATAAGTTAAAGGTTACAGACTATTAGTTTCAGAAATAAGATAGAACCTCTGGGTTTTGTGTGCCATTTATTCCTTGCACTTATTGCAGTGCAGGTCACAGAGATGCATATTAAATCTTTTTAAAGATTGATAAATGGCTAATAATAGAATTATAAAATGTAGTGATGCTGATTTATCCACTCAATATCAAAATAAAGGTCATTCTCTTCCTCTTTCTTTCTAAAAATCAAAATTAATGGAAATAAAAGCAATGAGAAAGTCAATGAAAGCTCTCCTAGTTATGTGACTTCAATGTTATAAAGTTTTAAAAAAAGTTATATATTTTCAGAAATTTGATTACTTGAAGAATCAGATATTAGAATTGCAAGGCATCTAAGAAGTCCCCTACCACAGCCTCCTTATCAATGAAGAGTTCATTCTTGACATTGGCTATTCTCTGCTGAAACTCCTTTATTAAGAGGAGGTTATTGCTGCTGGGCAACTCTATGAAGATGGTAGTTTGGTCCTGATTTGGGTTCAGATCCTAGGTCTTTCACATACTATTTTCTTAACCTTTTCAAGCCTCAGTGTTTTGGTGTGTAAATAAATGTAAATATACCCTCACTGGCTTGTTATGACATTTATATGAGATAATACAGTGAAACTCAGTGTGCTGTTACCAAATGTTAGTGATTATTTTAAAAAGCATTTCTACTAATATACAGGTTCAGTTGGTTTGGTATAATGCCTATTTACTTCTCTGTGTTAGTTTGCCCTTCTGATGCCACATAAAAAAAGTCTGACTCTTCTTCTACAAGCCAGACTTTCAAACTGATAAAGAGTAGTAATATGTACATCCTTAAACTACCCTTGTATAGGTTAAACTTATCCAGATCCTTCAAACACTTATAGGACATGGCTTTTAGAACCCTCGCCCACTTGTTAACTCTCCTCTGGAAATTCTCCAGCTCATCAATATCTTTCCAATAGGATGCCTAAAATGTAATTCAATATTTAAATTGAACAGATAAACATTTCCAGGAGTGGTAAAACAATGGGATATGGTAGAGCATATCTCCTTTTAAAATTACTTGATAACAATTTCTGATGAGCCATATGTTTATTCTCTTACTCTCTTGATTCTCTTGCTCAGTGGGAAAATAAGAATCTATAATATAGTTTCTCTCATCTTTACAAACAGGGAGGTAGAGAAACACAATGGCTTTGGAGTCAGGATGCCTACATCCGAGTGCAGCTCTGACATACATTAGTTGACTTGGCTATGGACACATTAAGTTCTCAGAGACTATTTTTCTCATCAGTAAAAAAAAAAAAAAAAAAAGAGAGAGAGAGAGAGAGATAGCAGCATCTACCTCATAGGGTTATTGTGAGGACTATATAAGTTAATACATACAAATAACTAGAAGTTGGCTGTATATGGTAAAGTGTTCAATACATGCTACTTATCATCACTGTTGGGAATTACTCTAATATTTTATTGTTAGAAAGAAAGTCTGTAGAACAATTATTCTAAAGTAAAAGTCACTATGCTTGTTAGAAAACCCCTACTTCCTAACATCATAGCTTTATGGTGTATAGCTAAAGTACATCACTTAATTTATCTATTTAGGTTAGTGTTTGCAACTACTCAACCCTGGAGATGACATCAGGAAGTTGTGCTGCTCAAAGTCAGATGTGCTATGAATACTGAGATTTTTTTTTTTTTTTAATGGCTGAGGTAGGTGTTTGGAAGCATCTGATGTAAAAATTTTACAGGTTAAAATTTATATAATGCCAAAGAACAAACCTAAGTTATTTTCTGGGGAGGCTCATAGATCTTGTGCTGGTGCTATTTTGTCTCACCTTTGAAGGGAGGTGTGGTGGCCTCCTCCTCATTATAGCTTAATTCCCACAAGCAGAGTTCAAATAATGGCTGACACATGACTCTGCAGAAGGCTCATTTTATGGGTATCAGAAGATAGCAACAATCAGTATAATTTTAGAGAGTATAATTGAGGACCATGATCATTAATACTTTTTAAAACCTCAACTGCGAAAAAAAAATTACAGAGGTTTACTGAAGGATATGCAGTCATCCATTATTAGATATTTTAAACAGTGCTTTAAACACTATAGTGAAGGATTACTTTTTCCTTTCCATTTTTTGTTTTAAATTTCCAAACTACTGTGGACCAATATTGTGTAAAACAGAATGAAATTGTCACAGCATTGTCTTGATATATAACAGTTTCTAAATGCTTCATCTCAGTTTCTGTATTTAAAGAACTGGTAACAACTAGCTTGCAAGATTGCTACCAGTCATGGGATAACACTGCGTACTCCTGTTCAATATTTTCCTTTGGATAAAGCAGGCCATCAGAGAGCTACAGACTTAGATTGTTCAAGTAGCCACCCTGAAGAAATGTATTTTTCCTAATTTCACTTTAGTAAAATATCATTGAACTGTGTTGAAGAATCTTATTTAAAAAAGAAAACCCTATCAAATTCTCCATTGTATTAAGTATATTTCTGAGGATGATATAAACTGTATTTTGCTCTTCCTTCTTTATTATGTTTCATGGAACAAGTTTCTCTATAGACTTAGTATCAGGAAAAGGTGTGCTTTTTCTAGCAACAGAGTCTTTTTACTCACAGACACTGGTGTTGGTTATTGGTCGCAGTTTTCTTACCTCCTAACCCTTGGAGTCTAATTTGTGGTCTGCTTCCAGGATGTGCAAGGGATTTCACAGTACTCATTTTTTTCACATTTATCTCATGACTGTTTTACTTTCTTAACTTTATTTTCCTTATATGTTTTAAATTAAAGTATCTTCTGCATTAAAGGTATACAAGCCTCATATTAAATAATTTTAAGAACAAGACAGATATTAACATGTAAAAAATGAACAATGCAGAGGTCTGTGCTCCATGGCGCAGCTTTTTATTTTTTAAATAGATTTTTAGAGAGAGAAGAAGTGAGGGGGGGAGAGAGAAATATTGGTGTGAGAGTGAAACATCAATCAGCTGCCTCCTGCTAGCCCCTTACCGAGGAAGGAGCCTGCAACCCCTGCATGTGCCCTGAATGGGAATCCCAGCAACCTTTTCATGCATGGAGATGACGCCCAACCGAGTCACATGGGCTAGGGCTGCATTAGCTTTTTAAGCAGCAGCAGTATACTGTTAGCTTAGATAAAGCACTTGACCATCAAAACTCCTAAAAGTTTTCTGTAGATATTCAGACAGTAGCTCCTTACTTACTACTTGATTGAGACTGACTGTTGAAGATCAATACAGGATCCTATGATAAATATCAACTTGCTTTCAGATCTGTATTTTAATTTTTGATATGAGCCATGCCTCCCAGCTTTGTATCATCTATAGATTTGATAAATTCTGCTACACAACTGTAATAGAACCATATAATACTCACTTGTACATGAATCTACTCTAAACTTTATGTTCCTTCCTCTACCCCATTTCAACATTTAAAAAAGCTCTCCCGAATTAGCTGCAACTCTATCAATAACTTCAAAGCATCTCTGGTAGGGAGGTTATTAAAAATATATTATTGATGAAAACAGGAGCTAAGAAATAGGATCCTGTGGCAGGCTGCAAAAGACAACCTCTACTTTCCAGAAACATTAATGTGTGAAACAAATGTTTTTGTAAGAATTTTGGTTTGAGGTTTTTTTTGTTTGCTTGTTTGTTTTTTTTGTGGTACATGCCCCTAGCAGGAACCAAACCCGGGACTCTCTGGTCCTCAGGCCAACACTCAACCACTGAGCCAAACTGGCCAGGACGAGCATTTTTAAATGATAATTTTAACTTTAATTAGTCCTCAATGGGCAGCACAGTAAAATTTCCAGAACCTTTGAAGTTCCAAAATAAAATACAGGTATTACAAAGCACCCCTCACAAAGCCACCCAACCATAGTCTTTTTGTAGGATGTTTGCAAAATGTAAATGTTAATACAATAATTTTTACAATATAAGTAATGTACAGATACAATAATTCCCATTCATCAGCTAGTACTTTTTTTCATTAAAATTACTTAAATCTAAAATAGCGTACCAAAATTAATCAGAAGAATAACAGATTTCACAGTGCAATGTGGGGTGCTAACTTTTCTCTACAGCTTCTGTTCAAGTAGAGCCTATGAAGCAGTGCAAACATAGCTATCTTTGTTTTAATGTTTCTAAAAGAGACATAATACATTTACCACATAATACTATTCATTTTGTAAGTAATGATTTAGAAATGATGTGGAATAGTAAGGTGAAATGATGGGGAACCCATTTTTCTTTTCAGTTCTCATTAATACTGCAGGTCCCTCTGCCCTCATGCTGCCCTCCCTTGCTGACTCCACATGACCCCTCAGCATTTCCTATCTGGAGTTCTACTTCTTCTCCTGTCTTGTAAACAACATCTTCGTGTCCTCAATTCCTTGTGCAAATACCTTTTTTCTTTATCTTGTTAACTGTGCAAAAGAGGCCATGAAATTAACATTCATCAGAAAGTTGAAGTGTTTTTAGGTTGTACTTCTTATTATGACATATTGTACTCTGATAAGGAAATTTTGTGTGTGTCATATAAACTTGATATACTTTAGTCAGAGATTAAAATTTCAATAAAATACCATTTATAAATAGAAAACTTCTCCAGATTTGTCTGTATACTAAAAGAAAAACAAGGAGTTTCTAATCATGTGTGTAGATCACATGTTATAATATTTATTTCCACATATGCTATAATATTCAAGGTGTGAAAGATAACAAATATTTACCACTGTGGATTCTTAAGTGCTCTTTTAGATGATGTTTATATTTGAAAGCTTTTCCACATTCAGTGCACTTGAATTTACGATTTCCTCCAGACTGTGTCACATGTCTCTGTAAGAAAGAATTGCATTTTATTTATAAAGCAAAAAAAGCTCTAGACATTAAGAACATCCAATCTGCTAAAAGTATTGTTCTGGTGGTGATTTGTTTCTTAAAGGCCTCAAATTATAGCCCTCACAAAAACCTAACATTTGAAATATTACCAAAAAGGAGGGTGATAGAGGGAATAGAATTTTGACATGGAGTAAAATTTCTACTTTTTAATTTAAAGTATCGGAATCAAACTTTATTAAGCAATATAGTACTTAGCAAAAATAATATATTCTTTACTAGGCACTGGAGAGATTATCTTATCTGTACTCTAATGTATAGATAAAGAAATTGAGGTCAAGAATATTTAGTAATCTGTCTAATGCAGTTACTCAATAGAAGAACAAGATCTCCTGAATAGGAGATAAGGCCAGGTTTTTCCAATATTTTATCCTGTCTCTTATATGTTTGATGTTTCTAAATAGTACTCAAAATTTTTTTCTTTATTGATTTTAGATGGGAGAAAGGGAGAGAGAGAGAGAAACAATGATGAGAGAGAACATCAACTGGCTGCCTCCTGCACATCCCCTATGGAGGATTTGGCCCACAACCTGGGCATGTGCCCTGACCAGGAATAACTGGTGACCTCTTGGTGCATGGGTTATCACTCAACCACTGAGCCACACCGGCCAGGCATACTTTAATTTGATGATTTAAAAAAATATGTCCATCTTTTCCAGCCAAATATGGACTATTACAATAACTTTCTGTTTAGTTTATCAAACCTCCACTTTATATATTTCTAATACACTCTACACCCTTAATTTTAGAAAAACACTGCTTGAATTACTCAGCTTGAAAATTGCCTAACTTTGTGAATTTTGGGGCCCAGGATCCAAAAGTGTTAAGAATTTATGGGAACAAGATTTCTGAGACATAGCTACTTCCTTCACAGCTACTGCCCAGAGGAGCTATACATAAGACTTCTTGTTTCAAAACTACAACCTTTTCTTAAACCATCTCCCATATCTTGCTTTGGATTATAAAGCTCTTCTAAGTAAAAAACAATACTCCTTCCCACTCCACCCAATCACTGCTTGAATTAAATAGAATCCTGCTCATAAACCTCCAAAGGATTCCCATAAACCCCTGAGTACAAATTCTGAGTCTACAAATTCCAAGTTCATAATGGCCTCTGAGTTTGCAGGTTTATTCTTTACCAGTTCTCTAAAAGTTTCTGCCCCAGTCATTTAGTGAGTGTGTTTTCTGCACATACATTGCTCTTCTCTCTCCCCTTGCTTTGGTCTATACTATTTCTTATTTCTTGGCTGCTTCCCTTTAATTATGACTTTTAAGATTCTACATATTTTTCAAAAGCCTAACTCAAGTACTATTTGCCTCATGCTCACCCTAACTGGAATCTCCTTTCTTGTCTCATTCCTGTAGTAAGGAAAGAAAATATGTTCTTACCAGGCCCCATTCATTAAAACCCATGGCTTTAAATATAGAATATATGGTGACAGTTCCCAAATTTATATCTTTAGATCTCTCTCCTCAACTTCAGACTCTTCTGCCAGCTGCTTCTTTGATATTCCTTGATATTAGAAAGTAATAGGAATCTGTTAACATGACCAACACTAAACTCTTAATTTCTCTCCTGAAAATCAGCTTCTCCTCTAGTGTTTCCTATCTTTGTGAATAACACCCTCATTTATTTTATTATTGCTTAGGCCCCGAACTTTAGTGTAATCCTTGAACCCTCTCTTTTTCTTTTCCTTTTTAATTAATTAATTAATTAATTTTATTTTTGTTACATATGTTTCTCCTTTTTTCCCCTATTGATACCCTCCTCCCCATCCCACCCACCCCGTACCCGGTTTTGTTGTCCATGTCCATTGGTTATGTGTACATGCATAACTTTTGTGGTTTATCTCTTCCCTCCTCCCACAACCGCCGGAAGTAGGGTTGTCTCTGGGTCTACCCTTTCCTCAGACTGTTATGCTCATTATATTCCACAAATAACTGAGATCATGTGGTAATTGTCTATTTCTGCTTGGCTTGTTTTGCTTAGGATAATACTTTCCAGGTTGCTACATGTCGTCTCAAAGGATAAGAGATCGTTCTTTCTTATAGCTGCATAGTACTCCATTGTGTATATGTACCACAGCTTTTTTATCCATTCATCTACTGATGGACACTAGGGCTGTTTCCAGATCATAGCTATTGGAAATAGTGCTGCTATCCACAAGGGGGTACATATATTCTTTCTGCTTGGTGTTTCAGGCTTCTTAGGGTATATGCCTAGAGTGGGATCACTGGGTCAAATGGCAATTCAATTTTTTAATTTAAGGTAAACTTATCTTTTTTGTTGTTACAGATGTTTCTCCTTTTTTACCCCATTGGCACCCCCTCCCCATTCCCCCCGCCCCATCCCCGGCTTTGTTGTCCATGTCCATTGGTTATGCGTACATGCATATAAGTTCTGTGGTTTATCTCTTCCCACAACCCCCATGCCTTCTTCTGAGGGATGTCAGTCTGTGCCCTACTTCCACATTTCTAGGTCTACTGTATTCTTCAGACTGTTAAGTTCATTATATTCCATATATAAGTGAGATCATGTGGTATTTGTCTTTTTCTGCTTGGCTTATTTCACTTAGGATAATACTTTCCAGGTCCCTCCATGTTGTCTCAAGGGATAAGAGATCTTTCTTTCTTACAGTTGCATAGTACTCCATTGTGTATATGTACCACTGCTTTTTTATCCATTCCTCTACTGATGGGCACTTGGGCTGTTTCCAGATCTTAGCTATTGTAAATAGCGCTGCTATGAACATGGGGGTACATATATTCTTCCTGATTGGTGTTTCAGGCTTCTTAGGGTATATTCCTAGATGCGGGATCACTGGGTCAAATGGAAATTCAATTTTTAATTTTTTGAGGTACCATCATATTGTTTTCCATAGTGGCTGCACCAGTCTGCATTCCCACCAGCAGTGCACTAGAGTCCCCTTTTCTCCACACCCTCACCAACACTTGTTGTTTGATGATTTGTTGATGGTGGCCATTCTGACAGGTGTGAGGTGATACCTCATTGTTGTTTTAATTTGTATCTCTCTGATGACTAGTGGTGTTGAGCATTTCTTCATATGTCTCTTGGCCATTTGTATGTCCTGTTTGGAGAGGTGTCTATTCAGCTCCTCTGCCCATTTTTTAAATTGGGTTCTTTGTCTTCCTTTTGTTGAGTTGTATGAGCACTCTATATATATTGGAAATTAACCCCTTATCTGATATATCATTGGCAATGATCTCCCATGCAGTGGGTTGCCTTTCCATTTTGATGATTGTATCTTTTGCTGTGTAGAAGCTTTTTAGTTTGATGTAGTCCCATGTGTTCATTTTCTCCTTTGTTCTGTTACTTTAGGTGATGTATCAGTGAAAACTCTGCTGCGTATGAAGTCTGAAATTTTGTTACCTACATTTTCTTCTAGGATTTTTGTGGATTCATGAGTTACATTTAAGTCTTTTATACATTTTGAGTTTATTCTTGTGTATGGTGTAAGTTGATGGTCTTGCTTCATTTTTTTGCATGGAGCTGTCCAATTTTCCCAACACCATCTATTAAAGAGGCTGTCTTTACTTTACTGTATGCTCTTGCCACCTTTGTCAAATATTAATTGAGCATATTGCCTTGAGTCCATTTCTGGGTTCTCTATTCTGTTCCACAGGTCTATTTGCGTGTTCTTGTGCCAGTACCAGGCTGTTTTGATTACAGTGGTTTTGCAGTATAACCTGAAATCTGGTAATGTGATCCCTCCAACTTTGTTATTTTTTTTCAAGATTGCTGGGGCTATTCGAGGTCTTTTTTTGTTCCATAAGAACTTTTGAAGTATTTGCTCTAGTTTTGTGAGGTATATCATTGGTATTTTGATGGGGATTGCATTGAATCTATAGATTGCTTTGGGAAGTATGGACATTTTAATGCTGTTAATTCTTCCAATCCATGAACAAGGTATGTGCTTCCATTTTTTTTATATCTTCTTCCATTTCTTTTTTCAATGTCCTGTAGTTTTCTGCAAATAGGTCCTTTATTTCTTTGGTTAAGTTTATTCCTAGGTATCTTAATTTTTTTGCTACAATGGTAAATGGGATTGTTTTTCTAGTTTCTCTTTCTGTGAGTTCATTATTGGTGTATAAGAATGCCATCAATTTCTTGACATGAATTTTGTATCCTGCTACTTTGCAAATTCATTTATTAAGTCTAGTAAATTTTTGACGGAATCTTTGGAATTTTCTATGTATAGTATCATGTCATATGCGAATAATGACAGTTTCACTTCCTCCTTTCCAATTTGTATCCCTTTTATTTTTGCTTCCTGTATGATTGCTGTAACTAAGACTTCCACTACTATGTTAAATAAGAGTGATGAAAGTGGGCATCCTTGCCTTGTTCCTGTTCTTAAGGGAAATGCTTTTAATTATTGCCCATTGAGTATGATGTTGGCTATAGGACTTTCATATATGGCCTTTATTATGTCGAGATATGATCCCTCTATTCCCACATTGCTGAGCATTTTTATCAGAAATGGATGCTGGATTTTGTCGAAGGGTTTTTTGGTATCTATTGATATGATCATGTGGTTTTCATTCTTCATTTTATTTATGTGGTGTATCACATTTATTGATTTGCAAATATTGTACCAGCCTTGCATCCCTGGGATGAATCCCACTTGGTCATGGTGAATAATTTTTATGATGTATTGCTGGATCTGATTTGCTAATATTTTGTTCAGAATTTTGGCATCTATGTTAATCAGGGATATTGGCCTGTAGTTTTCTTTCTTTGTAATGTATTTTTGCTGGTTTTGGAATTAGAATTATAGTGGCCCATAAAATGAGTTTGGAAGTCTTCCTTCTTCTTGAATTTTCTGAAATAGTTTGAGGAGAATGGGTGTTAGTTCTTTTTTGAATGTTTGGTAAAACTCCCCCTTGAAGCCATCAGGGCCTGGGCTTTTGTTTGCTGG